CCCGCCGCGCTATATAGGGGAGGGAGGGGTGGCGGAGGGACGGTGGGGGGGGGTGCCCGGCGTGGCCAAAGCGCACGGGGCGGCGATGCCTCCTGCCAGGGGAGCGCACAAGTGACCGGCGCCTCTTCCCATGCCCGTCTCCTGAAGCGACCCCCCCCCACCCCCGCCCGGCATGGATGTGGCCAACAACACTACCTCCCCAGAGCGCTCTCCCGAGGGGGCAGGCAGCCCCGGCCTCGCCGAGGTGACCCTGGGCTACCAGCTGCTCACCTCCCTGCTCCTGGGCACGCTCATCCTGTGCGCCGTGAGCGGCAACGCCTGCGTGATCGCGGCTATCGCCCTGGAGCGCTCCCTGCAAACCGTGGCCAACTATCTGATCGGCTCGCTGGCCGTCACCGACCTCATGGTGTCCGTGCTGGTGCTGCCCATGGCGGCCCTCTACCAGGTGCTGAACAAGTGGACGCTGGGGCAAGTCACCTGCGACATCTTCATCTCGCTGGACGTGCTGTGCTGCACCTCTTCCATCCTGCACCTGTGCGCCATCGCCTTGGACAGGTACTGGGCCATCACGGACCCCATCGACTATGTCAACAAGAGGACTCCCCGGCGGGCCGCCGTGCTCATCAGCCTGACCTGGCTCATCGGCTTCTTGATATCCATCCCGCCGATGCTGGGCTGGAGGACGCCGGAGGACCGCTCGGACCCCGACGCCTGCACCATCAGCAAAGACCACGGGTACACCATCTACTCCACCTTCGGCGCCTTCTACATCCCTCTTCTCCTCATGCTGGTGCTCTACGGCCGCATCTTCAAGGCGGCCCGCTTCAGGATCCGCAAGACCGTCAAGAAAGCGGAGAAGAAGAAAATCGCCGACACTTGCCTCACCCTCTCCCCGGCCGCCCTGCAGAAGAAAAGCAACGGAGAGCCCGGCAAGGGCTGGCGGCGGACTGTGGAGCCCAAGCCCGGTGCGTGTGTCAACGGCGCGGTACAGCAGGGCGAGGACGGGGCCGCCCTGGAGATCATCGAGGTCCAGCGCTGCAACAGCTCCTCCAAGACTCACCTGCCGCTGCCCAGCGAGGCGTGCGGGTCCCCGCCGCCCCCCTCCTTCGAGAGGCGCAACGAGAAGAACACGGAGGCCAAGCGGAGGATGGCTCTGTCCCGGGAGAGGAAGACTGTCAAGACCCTGGGCATCATTATGGGCACCTTCATCCTCTGCTGGCTGCCGTTCTTCATCGTGGCGCTGGTCCTGCCCTTTTGTGACAGTAAGTGCTACATGCCCAAGTGGCTGGGGGCAGTCATCAACTGGCTGGGCTACTCCAACTCCCTCCTCAACCCCATCATCTATGCCTATTTCAACAAAGACTTCCAAAGTGCTTTTAAGAAAATTATCAAGTGCAAATTTTGCAGGCAGTGAACCCCGCCGCTCCCGGACGGGGCAGCGGAGGCTCCCGCCGCTCGCTCCATCCGCCTGTCCCCCCCCGCCGCAGTGTGCCCCCCGCCCAGACCCTCTACCGCGCCGGCGTAAGGGCGGGGGGCGCCGGGACGCCCCGTCCACAGCGCGACGGGGTCCCGGGCTCCTCCGCCCGTCGGACAAGCCCCGCGGAGCAGGGCAGGGCTCCACCGGGGGCAGCGGGGGAGGGAGGGGGGGATGCTCGCCTCGGGAGGGTTCCGCGGCCGCCCCCCGCCCCTTCCTGGCCTCGGTGGGGCTCCGCTGCTGGGCGCCGGCGCTCCTGCCCCCCTTCCTTCCTTCCTTCCTCCCTCTCTCCCTCCCCTCCATCATTCTGGGTAGACTTAAGGTTTGCAGGTCGTTGCTTGTGGTCGCTGTAAACCACAGTGTCTGCCCGAGTAGCATCGGTAAAATTAAACTACCCTATGCAGAAAAACGCCGCTTCGGGGGATTTTTCTTGGATTTACGAGGAGGCGGCGTGGGGCTCAGCGTCCAACCTCGGTCTGGCAGTGTGAGTATGGAGGCTGAAGACTACTCCCCGGGCTGAGGAAGGGGCTTTCGGCTCGTCGCTTCCCGGGCGGTGAAACCACCAAGTGGATTTTCTTAGGGGAAAAAGTGTTTTGTAACCTTGCAGGGTACTTAGAGCAACAACCCCGTCTGCGTCGTTACCTGTGTCTAATAGCTATAATAATGCCAGGACTTTCCAGTTCCTCGGGCTTCCCTTCGTTACAGCGCAGGGAGGTGATGGGGCTTAAACCCCAACCTCGCGCCTCATTCTATGGAGATATATATATATTTTTTAAATGCCTTTGACCGAGAGTTTCCCACCTAGGAAAGGCTCGGCGCTGGGCGACTGTCCCCGAGTTCACCGCGCACGCAGCGGCACAGGGAGTTTGAGCAGCCGGCGACGTAGCGTGGTGTTTCTTTTCTTTTCTTTTTTTTTTTTTTAAGCTGCTTGAAAGTTTCTTCGGAGACGTTCCGGTTGCTTCGGAGGCAGCCAGCTGCGACACATTTTGTTCGAGAGAAAAAAAAAACAAACAAACAAAAAACAACACAAACAAACAAACAAACAAAAAAACAACAAAAAACCAACAAACAAACAAACTACAAAACAGACAACAAGAAACTGAACCAAACCGATCAACCAAAACATTGCCATGTGCTCCGTGGCACCAGGGGAGGGGCCGAGAGCAGCCGTCGGTGGCAGCCGCCGGAGGCGAAAGCGGCGTCTCGGCGAAAGGCTGGGAAGGGGCAGGGTCTCTCCTCCCCCGGGCCAGCCCCGGCGGGGGTCAGCACGACCCTTCCCGCAAGCTGAGAGCTACGGCCAGAAGCAGAGAGCGTCCCTGCGAGGCCGAGGACAGGGAGAGCCAAGCCCGGCCTGGCTGCTCCCCGCGGCGGCTCTACAAAAGCCCCCACCCCCTACGTTGGGGATACCCCCTCTCCCCTTCACCCCAGCTGCTTGGCCCCGGCAAAACCCGGGGTTCCTCCCCTTCCCCGCCTGGCCCGGGGGTGGAGGAGGACGGCAGGACAGCCTTGCCCGCCGCGCAGTCCCCCTGCCCGCTCTGCCACCCTTCCCCGCCGTGTCCC